AATAGCAAGTCAACAATTAAAGACAAAGCTTTAAAAAAATTAAGGAGTTTTCATAAAGTATGAATATAACATGGATGAGAGGTGTCTCCCATGAAGTAAGAACAAAACGGATGTCTCACTATTGGGAGGTGAAGACTAATGTTGTACTAACTGAGCCTGATGGCCGTACTGGGGAATATTGACCTGAGGTTGTGGTAGCACAGACTGAGAGCAATAAACCCCAGTATGGCTCAAGCAAGGAAAGTAAGCAAGTAGTTTATTATCTGGTGCTTGGACCAAACTTGTGTATTTTGAATTTGCTGGCTTCTGCTACTCAAAATACACAGTGTATGACTGCTGTCTTAGTTTATATGGCTAAATACTGACCAATATGGTGCAATAAGAACCAATCAGAAAGCTTGAATTTACCTCTGGATGTTCTGCCCTTATGGTAGAAACATGCTCATTTAAATGGCATTTTTAATTTTTTTTTTAACAATTTTTCTGCAATAAATCACTCATTGGTCTCTCTGTTGCTTTCAGAGGACAAATTTGAATGCAGCTCCAGGCAGAGATAAGGAGTTTGCATCTGATGAAGGTTATTTTTGCAGAGGGGATCAAAATGACTCTGCTGTTATAACAGGTTTGTGTGAAGATCACTATGAGTATTTAGGAAGGACACTATTACTGACACCAGCTTTATCATGCTGAATGCCCATTACTCATTACAGATAATGAAAAATCCTCTGGAAGTTTAATGCTTTCTGGACATGCTAATCAAGGGTGCATACAAGAAAGGATATGATTAATTATGAAAAAAAATTTTAGTTTTGTTTCATTATGTCTGATGTATCAACAACAGGTACGGTGACCATTGCAGGAAATGGACCTTAGTAAAGGTTCTATCTAGCCTGGAATTTGTGACTTGCTGTACAAAACTAATCTCTGGTTCTTTCATTTTCCCTTCTCCTCAATAACACTTCCTGTGTGACTGATACTGGTGACTATGTCTCAAAAGAGTTACTGTTAATGCTTTACACCCTAACATCTGTGGGCATCTTCAAACTGTTCTCCATACGTTTTACTAGGTGTTGATAAGGAGAATCTGTTTAATAATCAAGAACTTTAGTAGGTGATCATTTCCTTTATTCTCCTGACCTTCATGTGTGATTTGAGGTGATATTGCAAGGAGAAATTTGATGCTAATCACTCTTATGGGCCAATGGGTTAAGTAATGTTATACAATGATTCTGTATTGGGAACAACTCTAAGGGATACATGGGAGTTGTGGATCATTTGAGGTTGGGTAGTAAAAAATGGGTGATACCAAACTTTAAAGGGTTCTGCTCTGTTTCATTTTCACAGAACATGGGAGAGTCTTCAAAGGAACGATAAATCCTTCATCAAGATCATTCTATATCCATAGTCAAAGTTTTAAGCAGCCTGGAATTAGTGAAGTGTTCACTGATTTTTTAGCTGAAAGTGACTTTTTCTCTGGTAAGTTTGAAAAAATACTCCAGGCTTGATTTCTGCCACTCTCTTGGTCCAGTCTTTTTTGCTCCTCCCCTCACAGTGAGGAGGAGCGCAGGCTCCAGTTCCTGAACAGTGGCTGGTAACTGAGTCCATAAATATTCAGGTGTGAGTGATTGGTGTTATTTCATAATGCCAAGAGTTGGTGCAAACGAAGGGGTTGTAGCAAATGCAGATACCTTTGTTTACATTTGCATGCCCACCACGATTTGTTGAAGTCCACTCTAATGCATATATTCAAAAGATACTCAGTGTTGTGGCAGTGTAATCTGGTTAACTCTTAAAGATCCAAAGATCCCACAGTTAATTCTCCTCTCTAGCTGCTACACATTTCCTTATAAATTTATCACAAGAATTTGGTGTTAGATCAAGATAGCAACTTCTTTCTGGTAAGTTTGAGTATTCTCGTTATCTGTATGGTGAATGGTGTATGGATATTATTGGGAGAAGTTACATTTTAATCACATTTGGGAGGTAAAGGGTCAAGTGTTCATTGCACAATGTGTGCTTTCAATAGCTTAATTGGCCCATAATGTGATACACAACAACTTGCATAGCCAGAGGTAATTGTTCTTTAAAACTTTCTATGACCTTTCTATTTTTTGATTTTTTTTCTTTTAGATGTGCATTTTGTGAAAAGTTTCAGCATTGGGAATTATGTGTACTTCTTTTTTCGTGAGCGGACATTGGAATGCACAAGCTGTGGAAAGTATAAAGTCTCCAGGGTAGCAAGGATCTGTAAGGTACAAAAAAGCACTTTTTTTTTTTTCGGTAATCGTAATCACTGATGTACCTGTAACTACCTGTTTCCAAGTAACTGTGAAACCAAATCTACCTGATAAATTGCTGTAATAGGACATCTAATCAATTGAATAATGGCAGATAAATAACACATAACACTGATTAGATATTACGATGTCACCAGTACTGCCCTGTCTGAGCTTTTATCAAAAATATTTTTGGAAAAATAACTGTCTCTTGTCCATTTGTGCAAGCTTAAACAGAGCTGGTGTAAGGCCCTGCAAGATGTAAGACAATACAAATGCAAGAGTAAAGGAACAAATAGAACTAGCAGTGGTCATATCATAACATGCTTCTTTAGGAGTTGGGGCAGGCCTGACTACAGGTCATCATCAAGAGCCGAGTGTTCTCCCTTCTTTCCAAACCTTACTCAGTCGTTAAGTATGTTTTATTGATGTTTGTTGTTTTGTCGAAATTCTCTCTCTCTCTCTTTCTCTCTTTATCAGGGTGACTATGCTGGTCTGGCAAAGCTCAGAAGCAATTTTTTGACTTACCAGAAGGCCAAACTTATTTGTACTGATGGAGGAGAATATCCAGTTTATTTCCATGAAATTCGTAAGTAACCTTGTGTATCTTAATTATTGCAAACTATTATATGATTACAAGAAGGAAAGTTGATGTTAAAGTAGCCATGGGGTGATATCTATGTGCCGTTTAGATTCACTTAACACTTTGCATCAGTATGCATATTCTCGATAATGGTCTCTATACATTTCCTAAGGTACTGACAAGGAGAATTTGTTTAACAATCAAGAGCTTCTTTAGTTGGTGATCATTTCCTTTATTCTCCTGACCTTAATGTGTGATTCAGGGTGATATTGTAAGGAGAAATTAGATGTTGGTCACTCTTATGGGACAAAAGGAGAAAATACAATATATTTATTTGACTTGTGAGAAAGTAATCATGTATGGCCTTACCTATGGTGTAACTGACTTTGCCATATTATTTCATTGGCAGAGGACGTTTGGTGGGATCCAGAAACAAACCTGTTTCATGCAATTTTCACCTCTCATCCGTGAGTATTGAATAGGCTCCATTCTGCTCTTGCAAATCTAGAGCTTGTAATCATCCAAATAATGAGACTACCCTTTCATTAAGAAGAAGGCAAAACAAAATAACAAAAACATTTGAAGGAAATAAATACCTTAATTACTGCAAGCTAGCTTATTTGCTTTCTAGTAATACCCATTGAAATGTTGTTTGACTTCCTTCTCCAGCAATGGCCCGCCGTCATCAGCAGTATGTGTGTACAATTTGACAGATGTCAATAATGTTTTCGACACGAGTCCTTTCAAGAGTAGAGAGGCAGGAAATGGAAAATGGGTGNTTACGGCGGCCAATTTTCATTATCAACTCAGTTTATAACCTCTTCGACGCAGCACCACGGTTTCTTCAGAAACTTATTCCCTTTGTTCACTACGAACTGAGATAACAATAATTCTAATGCCTTGAAACAAACTGATTATCTCTGAACACGCGCGCACATGAGTGCTCCCGAATTAAAACTTATCGCTAAATGAGACGTACCGTCGTTGTCGCCAACTCCCCGCGCGCGCGGATATTCATTTTTATATCCATAGACATGAAACTCATAAAAAAGGAATATTCGTTCAGGTTCCCAGCAGTACGATGGAAATAGAATGCATTCATTTATTGTTACTCTGCTATGCATTTCTTCCCATTTGAACATAATGAACATTGTCGTTTATGTTTATTATTTTCTTCAGTGCAAAGTAAACAAGAAGTACTTGGCTCCTAACCGTACTCCAGCCCCAGACGGTATGATGGCAACAAAGAACATGAATTATCCTGTATATCAAGACCTCTTACACGATCCTCTTATGCGTGATCCAGTGCTACCCACCGGCTTTGACTCGGATCAAAAACAAGAGGGCAAAGCCTGGTTGACCAAGGATGGGATCAGGTTTGTTCACGTCGGAATGTGTAGTGATCTCTATTACCTTTCCTTGTGAAACATTTTATTTTTTTATTGATTCAATTTCACAAGATTTTATTATAGTAGTGTTTTAGAGCGCTTTTGATGTGATGTTTTTAAAAGCGCTTTATTAATATGAAATTATTATTATTATTATTATTATTACTATGATCATTATCATTGTTGTTATAGTCACTCTTGTCTACTGTCACGTTTACACGTGTGTTGTCGTTTACTGTTTGAAAAGAAAAGCAGAACTCCTAAAATTTACGTTGTTCTGGTCTGGCAATGAATGTAACTCGTCAGTACGATCTAGTGAAAGAATCAGTTTTGCGAAGTACATTGAGTGCTAGGTATTTATGCGTAGAATATCATAGTGAGCAGTCCAATTGCTCTTGAATAAAACTCAGTTAAAGCTACCGAGGAAAAACAAAATATTCTTTAAAGCTAAAAGATATAAATTGGTTACCAGTGTGTCTTACCTTATCGTTACAACTACCTACGTAAGGATGACTGCCTGATATGTGAGCGAGTGACTGAATGTCACCTTAACAGGCGCCGATTAGTACTCATGGTTTTTTTGTTTGTTTACTTTGTTTTCTTTCTTTTTTTTTTTTTGCGGTAGGATGACAGCCATTGTTCTGGACAAAGTTGCTGAACACACTGTTGTCTACACATCAACAGGTAAATTCAGCATACCTGGCACCTGGTAATTACGTGATAGAGTTGCACTACTACCTAGATCCTGGGTTTTAAGGTTCAATAAATCCTTTTGGAATTTGGGTGTGTTCAAAACAAAAACAAAAGTAATAATGTCAGCCAATCACGTAACTTATAAGAAACTCATGGTAAATATGCGCTAACGGTTCCAAGCGCGGGAACACGCGGGTAACAAATAACTTTTTATCCAAGGTCTTGCATTTGATTGGTCAGGGCGATAGCGTGAGTTCTCTTACCCATCAAAAATGCACCGTGAAGCATATCTTATAAACTTCTGGATAAGTTTCGAAACTCTTTGAAATTGCCCCAGATGTCTTTTAGGAGCGTTTATTAAGTTTTGTTGGAGAACTCCAACCCAACCTCATTTCTCCTACTTTGCCTTATCGGCATAAAGTATCAGAATGCCAGAATGCTAAAATAGTGATTTTTTTTGTAGATAGAGGATCTGTGCTTAAAATTTCGCAAGTTGGTGGCTCTCGTCGACCCTGCCTTCTCGCAGAAATCAACCTTTTTCCGGTAAGTATTGTGACTATCATTTGTAAGAAGAATATCCGTTGATCATGATTACTCGATATGGTCAATCGTTTTGTCTGTAGAGAACAGTTGTTAGTAGTAGTGGCTGGCATTTTCGATCAACAACCTGAGCGGAAGTCATGATCAGCGTCAGCGTCGAGGTGACTTCCGCCTCAACTGAAATTGTCAAATCGTCAATGATTGTTATTGGGGGACTGGACTCAATTTTGTAGAAAATACGAAAGTGACTTCAGTGTGACAACCTGCAAGTCGAAGTTTTGTTTTTCTTCGAAGTCGAAGTTAGCAGGGTGAACCATCTAGGTTTGCTGGATCTAAAATGGTCGAATTATTTATTTGTTTTAGGTTAACAGACAAGAAGTCATAAAAGCTATGACGATCGATCCAAAGCGGGTAAGATATTCCGTATTTCCCCGTAAAGGTGAATTTCAACTGAGAGCAGTTAAGGTGTATCCTTATAGGTTTATGAATGGTTGTTGATCGTTGAATTTTGGGTTTTATTTCCAGCATGTCCTTTACTTCGGCTCAAACACAGCACTGACGAAGTTGAGATTGGAGCAGTGTGGCAGTCACACACACCGCAGGTGAGTGGTGTGGGTCACACGGAAAATCATGGAGGATTTTTCGGCAGTTTCGGGAAATTTTTAAAAAGGGCTAGAGAAAATTTTGTACAATTACTGGGCAATGGTCTCTAAGCTCTTGCTGAGTGAACATTTCCTCATCCCCCACCGTCCCCTTCATCTCCAAATCGAGCGAGCTTCTTAACGTGAACTCACCTTAATGAGACCCCTGTTCTGCGGGTTATCTTGGATTTTGCTGGCTTTCCTAATGAGTTACCTCTTTTGACTATGGCTTAACAATGCGTGCGCAGTAGTTACAGCTTTATTTCTGACACCATCGTCGTATTTCAGGTCCTGTACATCCGCTTCTGATCCTTATTGTGCGTGGAACAAGGAAACCAAGCGTTGTGTTTCAGTATTAACTTCCAGGTCAGTAATATCAACAGAAAAGAATTTTAAATCAATTTTAAAGTGGGCTGTGCCATGTTTAGACTTCCCGGTTGATCACTTACGCTAAATTTTTTTAGTTAATAGGAGTTTAATTTTGAACTGTGTGAGGCGATTTTAAAACTCCTCATCCGGGGCTAAATTTCGTGATGTAACCCCTTTCTACCTTGAAATTGCAGACACCGAATAGTTTTGCCTTCGACCAAGGTCATGGGTTTCTCAATAAACGAGACGTTGAAAAAAAGAAAGGAACAGACTGCATTTTATGACCGGTTCCAGCCTTCGGCTGGCCCCGGTAATTATCTGACAGCGTCTCGTGCAATTTGAACGCAGTTAGTGTTGGTTGACACTGAACTTGAAATCGGGAAAGGGAGAAAAACTGTTGAAATGAATTTTCTCAATTAAAAGTTTCATTGTTAGTAGTACGTGGTCATTCAGTGTCGTCTCCAGGCAGTCAGCTGAGTGCCAGGCCCTCATTTTTAGCGCCTCAGCACCAGCGCTTCTTTGCCGAACCGGAGGGGGGTCTATGGGATTTTACTGTTATTAGTGCCAGACTCCCGTCAAACATCTCTCGACTCGTCTCCAATCTTCCCTCGGACGGTTAAGGCGCGTCTTGCAGCGATGGTAATCGAGGGCTTGGTTGCAGGCTAGCTGAGTGCACCATGACGATTAGTGAATCCATCATGGGGTTTTAAATCCTTGCATTTTCGCACTCTTCACAGAGATACAAGCAAATTGAGACAAGACTTGAAGACTTGTCCAAAGGTTACAGGTTCGTGTCAAATGAATGTTTTGTGGTAAAAACTATCAACGTGTCACTTCTCCTTACAGTATCAAGATGCGACCCAGCAACCAGTTGATGAGAATAGAGAAAATGATCAGTAAGAGGGTCTTTTTAGGATGAAGCACCAAATTCTTGAACATAATTTGTGTTATTTTCTTACTTACACCGTCAATCGAAAGGAAGGTCATACCTCTGATTACAAAATTCAATATTTTGTTACTTTTTTCTTTAAGGAGAAATCGCTTGGTCTTCTTGGAAAACTTGCGAGATCAGTGATGGAAATCTTTGTCGATGTCAAGTGCGTCCCTGCCAGGACAGGCAAAACTCCTCCTGTCAGGGTGGATATGAGTTCCGACTTGTAAACTGTACAGGTTTGTTAAGTACTTTCCTTCTCCACCCTTGTCTATTTCTGTTTTCCTTTTATTTTTTGGATTTGACAGTCCCTATTGTTTTAAAATTACCGCTGAACACAGACACTGAAGACTCATCATAAACTACACTATTATAAATAGTAATGAGGAGGTGCTGGGAAAGAGTAGTAAACGGGTGAATTCATTCAGTTCCGATCGAGGCTAGAACTGTTTCCCGCCTAATTTATGTTTTTGGGTTTTTTTTTTAAGTTGTTGATGATTTGTTTACTTCCCATGGCCGATTTCAGTAGATTGTTTTCTATTGGTTTCAGTGGACATAAAGGTCGGATGGGAGGGGAGAGAGGCATGGGAGATGTATGGCGCGCAACACGGTAAATGGAGTGCATGGGACGCTTGGACAGAATGTGCAACGAAGGCCTGGGCTGGGGTGAGAAATCGGACAAGAACATGTACCAATCCAGTCCCTAGGAGAGGAGGTAGACCGTGTGTGGGAGAGGCTGTGCAGTATGAGCCCTGTAGCTTGGGAAAGCACGGTAAGAAGCAGTGGTAAATTGTCTGATGTTACTGTTATGATATCAGCACCTACAGATGAACAATACGAGTCCTTTGAGGTGTATGTAGTTAAGAGTTATCCTAGATAGCAATTTCTTGTTTCATCGGTCTTAACGGTTTCTCGTAATGACTCAGCTAGATGTCTGAACTTTTTTGAAAAACTTTGTGTTAGAGGAAACTTTTGTGTCCGGAGAAATTTTGTATTATGAATCTTTCCAGGCGTAAAAGAGAGTTGATGTTAACCATTAGCGTTCTGTTGTCTAGTAAATTTTGAGGCCAAAATTTATGGAAACATCAGTAAAAACAGCAAAATAACAACAACAACAAAAACAAACAACATCAACAAAAGCGTTCAGACAAGGCTTTGTACCTGTGAAACGCTTACGGTATTTGCAAAGAACCCTCCGAACTCTTTTTGTGCGTGTTTGTATTTTTGTGTTTTTTTTTTTTTTACAATTTTTCCTTTATCTTTATTTTTACGTCGATCAGAGATGGAAAAACGGATGTTGACAAACCCCACAAGATCTTTAAACCTATCGGAAAACAAGGGTGTTCAGTTTGAAGTGATCTGTAAAACCACAGGTTATAAGATATCGAACATCAGTGTTGACATAGTCAACAAGACGTTTGATTGTGAGAAGCAAACAGATCTCTGTGGAGGTAAGAAGTGTTGTGGAAAGTTAACACAAACCTCATCACGTCATTACATCATCACCTTATTGCGTCATCACGTCATTGCGTCACACGTCATCACTTCATCTCCAACAGTCAGACTGAGACGCAAGTTCAAAATCATTCACGACTTTGTCAACTGCACTCGCCTTTGCTTCAAAATTTTTATTGCTCACGATTATAGTTGCAGATCGCTCCATTTTCATTTCAAGCTATGTTCTGCTTTAACCACTGTGAAATGTGAATCACATCTTAAAGAGATGGAAGGCGGAAAATTGTGATTATCTTCTTCAGTTTCGTCGCTGGTGTGGTGTAGTTTGCATTAACTAAAGAAAAAACTCACTTGCACAAATGTGCTTGACAATTTAATGATAACCTTCATAAATAACCTTTGTGGAATGCTAATGGAGAGTGAAATTAACTACTAATTTCTGTTTAACCGCAAGCTATGTGCATGACCCCGTTGATATTTGAAGAACTTTGGGTAAAGTTGTGATATTTTTCCTGTGTTAGAGGGAGAATGGAAAGCCTGGTGCGATTGGGGTCAGTGCTCTGAGGAAGGATTTCAAATAAGGAGGAGGGAGTGTAATGTGGAGCCTTGTGTCGGGGAAAAGTTACAAGAAAGACCCTGCGAACCAACTCCACCCAGCAACTGTACAGGTCAGCTGTAGAGATTGACTTTGTCATAGACTATTGCGCCAGTTTGATCTGCACTATACCCTCGTGACTTGTTCCGCTGGCCTTATACCCGCTATGTGCTGCATGAAGCAACAAGGAGTGTTGAACTCCTTCCTATATGGGATGCTTGTTCCCCATTCAGGCAATCCACCAGCACCTAGTCAAATTCCTAGGTGAAGAGAGGCACTGTGAGTGTTGAATGTCGTGCGCGAAAACTTGACACAGTGAATCGACCAGGCCTCGAACCTGGACCTCTCCAAGCGAAATTCGACGCGCTCGCCACTGCGTCCGGGGTAAGGAGAGCATTTTATGAAACTGACTTCCCGAGCGATGTCTGAAATGATGGTTTTTTGGTCCCTCGCAAAAGGCATCTTTTTTTTTTACAAAGCGTGACTTTCGGAGCTCCTCCCTACCTGCGCGACGCTTATTGAATTTTTCACCTATCGCTAAATGGACGATAGCGGTGTTGACGGTTCCCTAAAGGGCTTTGTTTTCTCGCGGTTAGGTGAATTGGACACGGAGAGCTGGGACGAGTGGTCTGTGTGTGAATGTAATCACGGTCTGAAACTGCCTGGCGGGAGTGGTTTGAGGTTCCGGCAACTAAAGTGCCGAAGAGAGTGTCGCAACTCATCAGTTTGTCCCGATATCGTCCAGTACGGAACTTGCGATTGTCTTACTGGTAAGTTGGATCTCTGAGACGGTCTGCACAAACTTTACATTAAAATTGTGAGACATAGGAAAAACTTTTCAGAGAATTTGTTTTCGAAAAGAGCAGGAAATATGGCTTACACCAGAACACTTTACATATCTACCGACAACCATTTTGTTGTTGTGGTTGTTGTTGTTGTTTTTGCTCTGGGTCAACTCAGTTTGAATAAATTTCGTTATCTTTCGAGTCTTCGTCTAGACGGCAGTAGAGATGTCACGCAACGCTAACCCCATGAGGGCAAGGGGTGAGTGTTGTGTGACATCGAAAAATGGCTGTGAAGCAGATTTAAGGCGATTCTTTAGACAAAAAGTTATCGAACAATTTTTTTAAACTTTCCTTAAATCTTCCCTACCAATTTTTGTTTCGAAAAATACATTAAAATGATGGGTCACCGTGCTTGTTTAAGAGATGTGATGGGCCAAACTTACCCCATTTCTGCTTGTAATTGCACTAATCGCACGCTTTCTTTTATCAGTTCACGATACATTTTGCAGTAATTAGAAGCGAGGGTTTTTAAAGTAACACTTGAAAAAGTCTTTGATGGGTAGTAATTCTCGAACGTATGGAACCATTTGATACCTAATTTGTAGAAAAATCCTCCCGTAATTTTAAATGACATCGTCTCAAATTGTTCCTCGAGTCGTTGCTTTCAAGGACATAATTTGCATTCTCGAGCAACTAGCTTTGTGCACGCTTTAAGCCATACCTTTTCTATAGCTGTATGTTTTCTCTAATTTAAAGAGGATAAGTTGTACACCAAATTATGTAGTAAAAAAATGTAGGTCACCGTTGCTCGTTCAAGCGCTAAAGACAATTCTGCTCACTGTCTTAAAGGGCTGTAAATATTGCGAGTCCAATTTGAGATATCGTTTTAAGGGTGATCACGCTTACTGAAGACATTATCCAGCAAACAGGGAACGAGAATACAGAAACTGATCAGGCAGAAGTTATCTTGATCTATCAAACAAATTCTCTTAACTGTTTAACAAGGAAATGTGTAGTAGCCATAGGGGAGAATTAAAAGTCAGATTTTAATTGTTAAAGGGATACATGTATCAGTTTCCAACCGTTGGCGTGCATTGTTGGTGGTGGTAGCATGAAGAAAATCTGTGTTAGTTTTGCTGATCTAAATGTGATTTTTATTGCGAATCGGTTCAAATATGAGACAGATTTAAACTATGTATCTGTTTTTTAATTGTAGCAGCTTCCACAAGGCCACTTGACACGGAAGGATCAAAGTTTGGAAGTGGTCACGGCATCGCCATCGGGTTGTTTTGTGGCGTTTTGCTGACTGTCTTTACACTTCTGCTTGTTAGATACCTCAAACGAAAACGAGAGAAACAACCGAAATCATATAATGTTCCAAAAAGTCCTGAAGGTAGTCCTCAAAACCGGGATTGTCAATACTCGCCAATTGTAAGAGAGAATGGTGTATCCTCGAGAGGTCATCCATCCTCAGAAAGTCAAAGTGAAGAAAAGAACAGAAACCCTAAAACAAAAACGCGTTTACCATTTAAAGGACTCAGTGTGTTCAGAAAAGGGCGTGATCCTCCAAGCAATGTCTAGCTCAGGAAATTAGACGGAGATAAAGTGTTAATAGAAAAGATGCGCCCTACTGCACCGCGGTCAAGGCAACCTACGACTGTTAATAGTCTTGCAATTGTCTGAATTCGGTGGGCTATCGCTCCCAGACAGACCTGCTTGTTGTTGCGTAAGGCGAGGATGGAAGGCTGTCAAATGTCTCGGTCCAGCGAACTAGATCAAGGAGTAGAGGTATTCAGTATTCTCAGTTCAAAGCAATCGTTGCCGAACTTGCATGCTAGGTTCAAGTGAATGGGAAATACAGCGTTTCCCCGCAGCTTTGGGGGAAAAAAACGATTCTTCCGTTGTGCAAAAGATTTAACTTGGATAAAACTGTATATTCTATATCGTTCGTGACCTATCGTCCAATGCGCAGTGTTTCATAAATACGTTAGTAAAGGGATTTAATCAGATATTTATTATGTAAATAGACGTTTAACACGTTTTAATTAGGGAAAGTGCAAATTTCTCGCTTACTTTCGTCATGTTTAGTTAGTTGTATGACGATAAATTGTTTTTATACTACATAGAACATGGTATAACGAAAGAGCTAAAACGCTGGAGTATGATTAGTCATTTTGGATCTTCTGGTCTCAAAACCTGCTCTACGCAAAACATAGGTGTAATTGGCAAGAAAAGAAGTTTTGTTTTGTTTAAGCAAGGAGTCAGACAGAGGGGATTTCGGGAATTCCCGTTCGCTACGTGCTAGCTGAGTTAATCTGTGAGTTAATGAAGAAACGATTCTTATTCTTATTCGTATACAATGAGAAAATGAACCCTATGGATTCGTTTGTCTCAGCCTATAGATTCTATCTACAGCAAAAGTATCCGCAAATATGATCAATTACAATTGAACTGTATGGAATCTCGCGTAAATTAAAGTGGAGGAAGTCGTGTGGCTCCAAGGTGCAAAATTTAAACTCAGTGTTTTGTGTTCATCTCTCGTAAGGGACAATTCTTGTTTGTATTAATTATATTGATTAGAGAGGAGTTTATTTTTGTAGGAAAAATGAATTAAGGGAGCGAACTTTGCCCCGATGATTTTCAGGTAGAGAGATTTCGGGCGAAAACCAAGATGATTAAACCATGGTTATCGACTGCAACTTGTCAGGTCTTCTCAGTAAGTCATTTTCGAATTACCGTTTGCCTCTTTTTCAAACGAGGCTTATTACTCAACCATTCGCACGAAAATGAGCTTAATTTGCTTGTGCGGAATGGAAAATTTGAATCATAGGCTATGAAAGGATGAGCACCAAAACTCGCTGTGATAGAGGCCAAAGGTAAAGCGGAAGTTGACTATTGGAATGGTAGTTATCATTGACAAGGTATTAATGCCTGGTTCTACGCCATCAGCTTCCGTTCAAACGAGGGGAAGACCAGGTACTGTGAAGGGCCATGAAACTGCTCCTCTGCAATAGCGTCATTATTTATTGCAGAATTTTTTCCGTTTAAAGGAAAGTCATTAACAATGCTCTCCCCAGTGAGATTTAGTTTGAATAAATGTAGTGTTTGATTATAGAATTCGCTACGTATGGATTTTTAAATACTCATCAATTGGGAAATGTTTACGTTCCCCAAAAATCTCTTTATATTACTGTTTTTATCAACTGATATGTATTATTGAACAAAAATTAAAGTTTACCGCAACCTGTCTCATGTTAACGTTGCTTGTACATCTTACAAGTAGTCGGATAGTCGAGGAAAAAAATTTACCCGTGACAATTTTCCTAGCCCCGCGATACTTTACCAGCTACCAGCCACAATAACTTACGACCATTTATCCGTGACCATCGACCCGCGATAATTTACCTGCAACCCGCGACAATTTACTCTCGAAACGCGACAAGTAGATCCTCACTTCGGCATTGAGTGGTTTGTGAACCACACAATTTTTTGCTTGTTTTTTTGCTTTAATTTTTCCGCGACCCCCGACAATTACCCGCAACCATTACCCCATGATCCGCGACAATGAAGTCCTCTCCCGGTGATATCATTCTCAGACCATGCATTGTTCAGAGGAGTTGGCAGATTGCTCTCAAGTGTGGAGGACGGTGAAGAGGAAGCTGAGAGGAGCGCTATGTCTTTTGGGGTTTCACCCAATTGGCACAGAACCACACTCTCGATTAAAAAACACGTTAACCTCACGGGTTGCGTTATTGCCATCGATGTTCACTCAAGAAGAGGTGCTGAAATTATGAGGCGCATTTTCATTAAGAGTGAAATTGGATTGTTTGGTTATCAGAATTTCTTTGGTTTAGCTAAACAGTACTGGCACAAATGACGTCGACTTGAGCTAATAATTACCCAGGAAGGTCTCAATGGGGTTAACCCATGGCCATGTAAAGGCCAAAAAATTTAGGCGTTGAACGTGAAAATTTACAAATTTTAACCATTAGTCGCCAAAAAGTTCATTGTAATGGAGGTTTCTGGACATTTTTTTAACAACGGAAAGAAAATTTTAACCTTTAGCTGTAAAATCCATCACCCCATTTAGACGCCATTGGGCTGTGGGCCGATCCTGTCGTTTTCTACAGTGTCTTTGTCAGGAGGTTCTCAAGGTACACGAAGGACTGCGACGCGTGCTTTTTTAGTTTTTTTTTTTCCTCTTTTCATTTCTTTCTTTCTTTTCCTTTTTTTACCAGTTACATACATACTTTATCGAGACTCACTTTGTTGAGTCTTTTCGTATGAAACATATTGAAAAGTGTCTGCTTAAAACTACTACTTTATTAATTGATAAAGCATATGAACGCATCACATCAATCTAAATACAATAAAATGATAACTAAATAATCGCTAATGTGTGTGTGTGTGTGTGTGTGTGTGTGTGTGTGTATGTATGTATATGATAAAAGAAATTGTATTAAAACCACTTCCCAGTTTCAATTAGACGGTCGCGCAGAGCAGCCCTGAATTTTAAATTATCTAATTAACTATTAATTTCTTTTGTGTTCTTAACAAGTTGTCGGATAGCCCATTCCATTCCCTTGAACCCCGAAAGTAAAATGCCCTTTGTTCCACTGCCAATCTACATCGGGGGTCCACAAAGTTGTAACATCCCCTAGCCGTGTGTTCTTGTTATGAACTGCTGAGCGTTGTTTCTGCCCATTAATTTTTATATCATCATGATCAATCTCTTCAGACTGTTGTTTGGATTGTTTCATCAGTATCGTGATCTTTTTGCGCCACTAGAAGATACTTTAAAGCAACAATGTTTATCGTGCTGTGATAATGTGAAGCGGTTGTGAGCTCCACTTGTTGATCGATCGTGTCGGGATCAAGTCCGCACCGGATCGTGGAGAAGTCACACTAATGACTGTTTTGTTTTCTTCATTTTTCTTGTTTCCTTTCTTTTTTACCAAACTTTCCTTGGCCCATAACGGTATACTTTAACTTTTCATTTCAAATGCACTCTTTGTCTCTCGTTTATTTTCACACCCAGCTCATTAAGACTAGGTTTACACTAGAGGAGAGTTTTCCGGATTCATCAAATTTACGTATTCATCAAAAGTAATCGGATTCAAAGTACCCACTTTAAATTCCGGATTCAAAATCTCCGGAGACACGACAAAACCGGGGAATTTTTATTTCGGATTCGTCCACTTTCGTCATTAGCCGRMAA